ACATATATATATATATATATTTGATATTTAGATCTACTCTACCCTAGAATTTGACCTATCTGTTGATTATTATTATTATTACAAGGATATGAGCATGATCAAAATAATTCGAATTATAAATAAATTAGTTATAGATAAGGAAAATCGTATTTATTTGATTACACATTCATTATGGATCGTTTTTGTTTTATTAGATATAATGCATGCGTCTTCTGTTAATAGTGAATGTTGTTATGAGTAGAACAAAAAAAGGAATATTTGATTCCTTTTGTTTTTCTATTGAGTATGACGTGAAGAAACAACAAACTGTATGAGTGAATATTATTGTTATATATTGAGATTCGATTAAGAAAGGAACGAAATATGAATATACTGAGCTTTTTAAATACGTGAAAACCAAAGAATAATAAAGAATCAGAAACGAAGAGATGAACAAGAACAATCACCTAGCCAACTGACTAATAGCAGGAATGATCATATATATACAGTAAAGCCCTTTGAATTGGAGACACCCTGCGGACTCTTCAAAAGTATTCATCATGAGAGGTTTTACCGTATGTGAAAAAAAACTAAAAATAAAAGTAATCTATTTTCTTTGGAACACTCGATATATTTAGAACAATAACCTTACCGAGCTTTCACTGATGAAATTTGAACGTAAAATGCTCACATGAATGTGCTCTCGATAAGTAGATCATAAAAAAAAGAAAACTATCTGGCATGGTAAAACGTATAAAGACGTACTAGTTCATCAATAATTATGAAATTCGTAAATAATTTCAGATCGACGCTTAGGAAATTCTTATACCGAGAAATACGAAGATCATATACTGATGTTTACAGTCGTCACCGAGTATATTTTTTCTATATAGTATCGTATTTCATTAAAATACAATACAAACCCTCTCCTTTTTGGCGCATTTATCCAGATATATTTCCAATGAAACTAAAATATTCAAGTGAATGAGCTAAAACAGCAAAATAAGACAAACAAATAACGATTCCTTTCAGTCCCGACTTCTTTCTCGAAAAAATTGAAAGATCGTTTTTTTAATACTAAATAGAAAAATATAGGTAGCTCCTTCTGAAGTCGCCAGAACTGAAATGATTAAAAGATTTTGCTATTCTATTGAAACAATCGTTCATAACAATCTATAATAATAAAAATTCAAATAAAGTAGACAAAAATACTTTTTTTTGGTTTGGACCATCGTGTGATCTAAGTAAAATAAAATAAGATAGCAAAATATATTACTGTTGATTGGATTTTGATCATTATATGACATGAAACAAATAAAATAAATAAAATACTTACTGTTAATTTGACTACTCCTATGATCATATCCATTTCTGCAGCAAATTTTGAAAGTATATAGATGATGGCCGCATACAAACATGCGTGTTCAACTTGAGTATCGATAAAGGGCTGTTGCATGCAGAACGAAAGAAAAAGTCAGTCAACTAACGACTCTCATATCTGTTTATATGCACAATGTTCACTAAAATGTGAGGTTCTTAATATGTTTTTCCTTTGCTCTGTTCATACGTTAAATATAGGTGATGTCTTTTATGTATATGACAAAAGCGATCGTTTTTTTAATAATCCTTCGATTTGATTGCTGGCTTATTTTTTCGTTAAGATGATAAGTGAACATTCTATGCATCAGCGAGCATTGTCGTAATAGTCGAATATATACGTGTGCTTTTCATATTTTTATTTAGTTATTGACTTTTATTTATATTCACATCTACTTCATTCACTCGTTATTTTTTGACTCCAATCGTTTACTCTAAAAGAAGTAAGTACACTGCTAAACCTTTTTAAAGTTGTGTAAGAGCTTCGAAACCTAGAATGGTTCATATTCTGGATATATGATTGAAATATTTTTTTTAATATTGGCGAGATGAAAAAAAAATTCGATATCAAAAATACGAGATTATAAAGTTTCGACCGTGTTCTCAGGATAAGAAATATTTTAGATATCGCAGCTACTTTCGAAGGTGTAGGCATGTGTATATGATATCAGAACTAGATCCAAATTCGCAGACATCATCGAATTCGGAGTCTTTGTACTTAAAAAAGATATTCTCACTTTTTCGATGCATAAAAAGTACAATGACATCTTTCTATAAACAAGTAGTCAGTCGTAGTCACCTTCAAGCTAAAAATTGCTGAACTATAACAATAAAATAAATTTCAATTTTTGAGAAGTAGACAGGAATTACGCATCTATCATCTACAAATTAACGTTTAAAGTTACATATAATGCCTTCTTTCTATATTTAACGTATTATAACTGTGTCTAATATCTGTTATCTATATACAACTATTTATTTGTATGCTTAACAGAGAACATCCGAAACATATCGAACATCATCAAAAAAATGTGTTTTCCATCAGATTTCTATAAGGTTTTCTGACAGATCTTTTAGAGATCACAATATTTTTCAGGGATTCAGCATAGATTTTCCATTTTTAAAACGTGTATTTGATAGAAAAACTAGTCCTCTTTCGATCTATGTAATAACTTTTATTGCTATAGAATCTCATAGAGTTTTCAAAGACAACCAACACCCGCTAGTTAGTCCCGAACCACTCAAAAATGAGTGTAGATCCGACGTTCGTTAGGATGAGCATTACACTGATTGTACACTCAATCTCACCCCTCATCCATTCGTTTCATCCAGTGATACGTTCGTTTGATGTTGATGATAATTTTCGGGATTATATATATTTGACTTAAATAATTTCAGTCTTCTTCTTTTGTTCAAAAATTTTAACAGTGCTGCAAAAGACATCTATGTTTGATCTAGGTTTCGTTTCTCGTAGATAGGATAGTCAAGATCAAAATGGTATATTTCTAGAGAGAAAAGTATTCATATCCTGAGAAATATTGGACAGGTAGCACAGACTGCACTTTTTGTATATGTGTTTGATTATTTTAGATTCAAGAAAAAAAATGAGCGATAATCATGGGTGTTATCTTATTTCTGCATTCATGTTTATTTTCTTCTCTATAATATTTTTTCTAGCTCAATATCGTAGTACACAAGATGTATTTGACAAACACATAAAAAATAACTGTTTAGTAAAAGATGCAGGTTTGGAAAAGTGTGGTGTACACAAAAGTGAAGCAAACCATATGGAACAATGTTATAAGATCGAATGGCTAGTTGAATATGAAACTAAGACATCAATAGGAGAAACCACAATTGTTGAGCGTCATTGGGTAAAATATTACGGTTTTGATGACGATAAACTGCTATCTCGTTTCAATAAGTATGAAGTATCTATATTGAGATGTCTGAAGCATAATACCTACTTGAAAACTCTTTTCATTCTTCTCTCTATAGATTGGTCACATTTATGCATGTTATAATTCCATCTACGACCTTGCAGAGGTAGCATGGCACGTTCCAAATCTACGTGGACATAATTTCTGGATGACCTGTGGAAGTATACTATTGCTACTTTCTGCTTGTTTAATGTTAATTTACTGTGTTAAAATAAACAGATCTGAGATCAATAACCATAATAATGATCGAAACACTCAGTGTAATGCTGCTCCAGTGATAATATCTCGTTGGGCAGATGATCTTCCTGTAGCTCCGCGTCAACCAACTCTGGCAGAACTTAAAGAACAAGCGGATAAACTCCTTGCTGAGTTCCGATCTGTTCAAAAGCAGTTTTCAAACAAAACTGTAACGGATCCTCTATAAACTTTCCAGAAACTAATTATATTATATTTTCAACTGAAAAAAACAATTTGATAAAGTTTCTATTTTTTATTTTAATGTATTAAACTTAACTAAGAAACGAGCAGGTCAATCTATTAGTTTCAATTCTTGCTTTTTTAGCAATTAACTTTCTATTTAAATAAAATAATATTGAAGTGGTGTGTTTCTAATTAGTATAAATACATACTAAATCAATTTTATCAACACTCATTTTCAAAAACTATTGAAGAGAATCCAAGGACTGAAATATAATCATTTCTTTTCAATTGTCTTTTGGTTGCTTGATTGCCATAATCAAATGCTCATATTATCCATATACATATTCGTGAAGATGAATATATGAATGTGGAAACTACTGAAGAACATGTATAGTTTTAATTATTATGAGTGGTGGAACTGTGAGGAAATTGAGGGTCAGTTCTTGATTCCTTGACAGTTTAAAAATTCTCATTCCTCAGTTGGTGAACATTGCTGGATCAGTTCGAAAAAAAACTCTTTAATATATCTTTGTTTAGTATCGACATGTTCATATAATGACCGTTTTTGTTGATCAACAAATGTTTCGAAATTAACCATCTTGAGGTTGTGGATGAATATTCTTTAGTTATCTACATTTTCATCCACATCTACCCTCAATAGATTTACAACTAATCAATGAATATATTATCTATACAATCATATGAGATTAATACAATTCTCCTTTTTCTTATTCATGTATCATATTGATATAGTTTTTACCCGTTTATTTTTTTGTTTGTTAAAAAAGATTTGTTCACTGTAGTATTTTTCTCATACATATCATCGAATGATATTAAATCGTTTTATTAAATGAAAAACAATAAAAGAATGACTTAAAATTTGAAATATCATGAGATGTCACTGATTATTGTTAGCTGAATATTTTATTAATTATTAATATTAGTATAAAAAAAGAAATAAAAAATCAAATAATTTATGTTAAAAAATCATTTCGAATTTTCAAATCAAATATTATAAATCTTGTATCGGTAGAATTACATTTGTTAATTTACTTCAAATTATGTTAATCTATTTGACTTCTTCTTCACTAAAATAATGAAAATTAATTTAACAAATAGAATTGATCGAAAAGTTACGAGTAATGATCATTGATTATACAATGAATGCGTGTTTTATGTTTCGATTGATAATTTAGTTATTTAGTGTACAGAGATAATTGTTTAAACTTGAAATAAAAATATTTTATTTGAAAGTTCTTCAGATGTGATTAATTATTTTAGATAATGTTTGATAAAATATTTCACACTTATATTCGACGTTGTATTCTTGTTAAAAAGACAAACATTTGTCAATATTCAATATCATCATCATCATCGTTGATGAATATAAATCGATCAATGAAAAAACTTTTAGATGAAGAAAAATATCAAGAAGCCTTAAATATTTTTAAAGCAAATGATCGATCAGTAGTATCTGATATAGCAATAAATTTTGCATTAAAATCTTGTACTAAATTAAAAAATCTTGAACATGGAAAAAGAATTCACCAAAATTTTTCATCTCAAATAATGAACAATGCATTTCTAAATACATCTTTAATTCATTTCTATAGTGAGTTTGTTTTTTTTCTTTAAATCAATATTTATTTGTCTTATATTTATTCTTAGTGACGTGTAACGATGAAGATAATGCTTATCGAGTATTTTCTTGAATTAAAAATAAAACATCAGGTGTATATGGTGCTATGTTTAAAGGTAATTTATCATTAGATGTATATTGATCATAAATTTTTAGTGAGGATTTCTTATAAAAATAAAAATTTCTCTGTTTTAGGCTTTATTACAAATAAAAAGGTCGAAAAAGTTTTTGAATTATACAATAAAATGTCTATTGAAGCAGATGATATTACTTTGATCATTCTTTTCAATGCCTGTGCTCAATTACCTAATGAACATGGAATTAATATAAAGAATAAATTTCTTGATCAAATGCCAAAACTATTCACTTATAATACCAATGTACTTAATTCGTTTTTACATATGTTAATGAAATTTAATGAAGTATCAATTGCAGAAAAGATCTTTGTTCAAATGAAAACGAAAGACATATTTACTTATGGTATAATGATGCAAGGTTAATGATTTTAATCTTTATTAGAAAGAAAAAAAGCGAAGAAATTTTCTTTTAGGATTTTTTGAAAATAAAATGTTTGAAAAAACATCAAATATATTTGAAGAAATGCCTTTTCATCCAAATAGAGTTATTCTTATTATTCTTTTTAAAACTTGTAGTCAACTTGTCAATGATCGAGCATTGAAATTGGCTACTAAAATCTATAATCAAATGTCAAAAAAATATTTTCAAGATTCAACTCTTCTTACTTCAATATTACATATGTTTATGAAATATTCTCATATAATGAATGCAGAAAAAGTTTTTGAACAAATTCAAATGAAAAATCTTATTCATTATGGAGCGATGATCAATGGTTATAATATAAATAATCAACCAGAAAAAAGTTTAAACCTTTTTAAAGAATTAAAAGAGAAAAATCTCGAAATTACCGAACCTATATTAATAATGGTTCTTCATGCATGTTCACAAATTGGTTTATTAGATATATGTCAAACAATTTTTAATCAAATTCCTTCACATTTATTAAATAATCATCGTTTACAAAATACATTGATTGACATGTGGGTATGACTATAATCAATGTATATACGAACAAATTTTCTCTTTCTATATACATTTATTTTCTAGGGAAAAGTTGGTTTTGTTGATAAATCATTGAAAATATTTGAATCTATTGAAAAACGTGATGTTATGACGTATACATCTATGAGTAAGTTCATCTATTGTTTACAGATTTTATTTTAATGAAAAATCTTTTTTTTCAATTAAGTAAATGCATTTGGACTTAATGGAATGGGTTACGAAGCAATTGATTTATATAAACGAATGCCTATTCATATTCAAGATGAAATTACACACATTTGTGTATTAAATGCATGTTCACATTCAGGTCTTGTTGACCAAGCTTATTCAATTTTCAATAATATTCAAGTGAAAACAGAAAAAATAATTACTACTATGGTATATTTAACTATTCATTTTCTTTTATTAGAAGGATATCTTCTACTAATAGGAGATTTAATTAGTCTAGATAGATATATGATATTTGATAAATTGAATTTAAAAAAAAAGAAATGAAAATTTTTTTTAATCTCAAGTCTGAATAATAATTTCATAGTTTAATGTTACTAATGGGAGATAAGAAGTCCATTTTTCAATTGAAACTATTCAGAAACTAGACACATAAAAATATATTTCAAAAATATCCGTGATCTATTAATTGAAATACTTCAGGTCGATTGTTTCAGTCGAATGTTTATGTTTAATGAAGCTCAAGAATTAATTGACAATTTTGAATTATCTCATCCACCATGTTTAGTCATGTATAGTAAATATTTGAATAATTATAAATTTATTTATTTAAAAATATATTTCTTTTTCAGTGGCTTTATTATCAGGTGCACGTAATCATCGAAATTTAATTTTATCAAAAAAAATTTATCAACGAATGAAACAACTCTTTCCAGATAATCAACAAGCTCTTATATCTGCTTCTATTCTTCTCTCTCATATTTATTCATCTGTTGGAGAAGATCAAGAAGCAAAACAAGTTCGACTTAATCGATTAGAGGGAATAGGAAAAAATCGAATTATTGGTACAACATGGACTGCATATAATGGTGAAATAGTGGTAATTAGATTTTATTTCAATAAAAATTCAAATAAAAAAAAAATATTTTCTATATCAGAGATTTAAAGCACATGATCGTAGTCATCCTCAATCAAGAGAAATATATGCTGAAATAGGACGTATTTCTACTGAACTTATGGAAAGTGAACATGAATATGATTCAAGATGGATTACTCGTGAAATAAATGATGATGAAAGTATTGAATCAATTTTATGCGGTCATAGTGAAAAATTAGCTTTAGCATTTAATTTTATTCAACAACCAATACCAGATATAATTCAACTTACAAATAATCTTCGTATATGTGGTGATTGCCGTAAGTTGCCTCGTTGTTTTTACGCTTTATATTTATTTGTTTGCTTAAATAGATTCAGCAATAAAATCAATTGCTAAACTTCGTCAACGTTCAATTCTGATTCGCGATGCTAATCGTATTCATCATTTTGATAAAAATGGACAATGTTCTTGTCAAGATCATTTTTAAGTTTTTAATAAAGAAAATTTGAAAATATAAAAATAAAAAGTTTTTATTGTAAATATTCGTTATGTTAATCCTTTGAGCCTCGGCGACGTATATATGCATTCAAATGCCGTTATTTGAGAAAAATGTTTCGAATATTATTTAACTAATCAAGAAATGCAAATATTAAATTTTTTAAATCAGTTAAAAGAATTTTATATAAATGAAACTGTATTAGATTTAATTGATAGTAAAAAACAATCTATTGAATATTGGAATAGAATATTTCCTAGTGCACCATTAATAAAAAAAATTTCTTGTGAAGATATTGGACCAAATACTAAACAATCATTTCAAATAATACCATCATCAAAAAGAATTGCATATATGCAAGTTACTTTTGATTGAATACATACAACTATAAATAAAGAAAATAGAGACGTAAAACAATGTTTGTTAATTAAAGAAGGTCGACATTTAATTGGCGAACAACCTCTATTTTCATCAAAAGGTATTGTCATATCAGCATTACTTATTTAGAAAAAGAGAATTGTAGTATTTGTTTAATATTTAAATTATTTTTATCAAATAATTATGTTTTGTATTATTCTGAATCTTATATTTTCAACTTATTTATATTATCTTCGATAAATATATATCTTATTCATTTATTTAGGTACACAACAATGTTCTCGGCCGTTATTAGCCGTTCTTTATAGTACACTTCCACAAGTATCATCAATTGATGCATTTGTTTTATTTCTTCAATCCTATTTCCATTTGCATCAAATTTTGCTAATTGAGCTAGTGGTTTATTATGTCCTATTGCTGGACTTGGTCTTGCAACACATATATTTGCACCTGAAAGTCAATCAGAATCATTAGTACGTTTTTGTCATGCATGTATTAATATGAATGAACAACCTATGTCAACATTTTTATCTTCAACACAAGTAAGTATTAGTCTTGGACAATCATCAATATGATTTACACAATTAACAACAGAATTACTTTTGTGTCTTTCGACAAGTATCATCACATACAGATATATGTTCAATTTTTGATTTACTTGATGTATAAAATGAATCTTATCGTCGTTTTGAACCATTATTTACTTTACCTTATTAATTGAACAATTAGTATAACATGATCGATTTTTGATTTAGTTGATGAAATGGACATGACATTATTTCAATGTTTTGAATGTTCATTTGATGAATAACAACATGATTTAGATACAGATGATAAAGAATTAAATGAAGCATTTGATACAATATGTCAAGAACATCAAGATGTATTAAAACGTTAAAAAAAACCATTACTTTATGGAGACTTTCTTTTATCATTACGTTCAACATCATCAAAATTAATTCATTTATTATTAATTATATCTCCGAATCAAGCACAACATTTACCTGTGTCATATGATTATTCTTCTTCTTCTATTCAAATACTTCAACAAAAACGAATTATGGATAAATTTGATAGACCCATTGTGAATAAAATACTTGATTATGTGGTTAATTTATTTTCTGATTCCGTATTAGATCAATTAGCAGATAAAATATTAATACCAATAGATTTTGATGATTATTTACCTGTATTTGATGATAATGAAGTACAAGAAGAATATAAAAAATCAAAAGTTGTTGCTGAAAATGTATTTGAAGCACTTCTTTTAAAAAATGTTTTTATCACAGATAAAGTTCCATCAACAACAGATATAATTTTAACAGGTATAGTTTATATTAAATATAAATAATCTAAAACAGCAAAATTTTTAAACAGTTGTGCTAAGAACGTATGCTGTCGATATTGAATAAGGTTCATTGTCTTTGGGGCATTCTTATTTACAAAAATTTCAAAAGAATCTTGAATACGAAAGAAAAAATGTGATTCTTCTGGATTACATAAAACATTTTCAAAGAATACTTTTTGACTTATACATCATTTTTATACAATTAATGCCGAGGTCATAGATAAATAAAAACAAACTCCTAAATATTTAGTTTCAACACTATCAGCTCCAAGATAGAGTGAGTAATATGGAGAAAAAGACAAGTAATCATATACATAAATTCAAAGACAAATGATACTGAATAAATATCTTAACGAAAGACAATAAAATATTATATAATATTGATTTAAAAACATTTAGATTGCTTTTTCTGTTTTTCTAATTTTATCAGTCCTTTATTTATTTGTTTGATAATGCTTGGAATAAGAATCATTAATCAATACAGAGAAGTGACGGATATATATTACTTAGATCTAGCGCTTGTCAAATGCGACCTCTACTCAGAACAATATTTTTCCTAAAAAAAAGCAATTATATATTCCATTGGAAGCAAGACTCCTCCCATCCCATCCCATACCATTTGGAGCCCTGGTTTATATATAACCACATGAAAATGTATAAAAAACGATATGAGAAAAAGCAAGTTTTTGATTATTTTTTCGATCATTTGTCAAAGTTTGAGAAAAAATACTTAGAAATACGTACAATCTTGCCAACTTATTTCATATATCTGGAACTGAAACTAAAGAGTTTCAGATATGTTTATTTTTTTCGATGACATTCTTTTAATACATGTTTTTTCATAACTTGTAGAATATTAGATAAACATGTCTCGTGTAAACGAAGCATTCTTACAACTACGCGACGCATTGAATGGACGACAATTGCCCTATCTCGATCCAGAATACTATGCTGAGGCTCATCTACTTTTCGAGTTATGTAGCAATCAGCGCTCTCTTATCGCCAATTGGCTATGTGAATGGACAGCTGACCATTTTCGTGATTTATCATCAATGGCTATTCTTTCAGTAGGATGCGGCAAGGGAATAGTTGATTTTCAAGTAGCCACACATTTGGTAAGAATCAAAGTTCGCTTAATGTGCAGCTATTAACACTAATAACTAGAACTCAGCAAATAAGATCGTACTTTAATTCTTGAAGGACTATACACACTCGCAAAAGATAAAGAAAAATAAGCACGAAATGATGCGTCGTAATGCATGAATATACTTCAAAGCAAGAATTTCGAAGCATTTTGACTAGTATCCAACGTGAATGGGCTTTTTGAGCACAAATACGATCACTAAAAAAAGTTTCCAATAGCGTTCATGAAAGAACAAAAATACAAAAAATACATTTTATTCAATGAAAGAGTGAGAAAAAGCATTCACTATTCGTCAGTACTTATTCTTTGAAATAACCTGTATGATAAAAACGACAATAAATTCAGAGATCTGTCCTTTTTCTCTACTTTTCATTTGCAATACTATCATTTTCTGTACAAATAATACGTAGATGGTCAACTGATGATCTTTTTTTATCTTTCACGAAAATTAGTTATTAATTACCTGTAATCATAGTAGCAGCTTCCGTAGCTTTCTGTCTTGACATTATATGAAGTTATGTTAATATTTGGAATATTAATCTCACCATCAAATAAAGATATTAAAAATAAAACTGAATCAAAGTGAAGATTAGAATGAAGTAGAAAGCTCATTCTTCTGCACAATGATATTCCTAACGTACAGATAAAATGTCTTATACGCTATCCAAAAAATTTCTCTGACATCTTTTCACACTAATGTAATTTCATTATATTTTATGATCGGGTATTCCGTAGGATCTACATCACGTTTACATTGAATATTATCACATCGTATAACTCTTTCACGGCTTGTAGACCAGAGTGAGCGATTATACTTCTAAATAATCGATCTCTTAGTATTTTTAAGATTTCTCCTCCATTATCCCCTTCATTACAGACAATTTCTTTTATCAAAAGACAGCGCTTAAGATTCTGTACGAAACCATACATGACTGGATCCAAAAAACTGTTTTAGATATATTTGAAAAAAGATGAAAAATAAAGAGATACAAAAAGCTGTAAAATATCATGGGTTGAATGTAATGAACGGCTGCACTTTGCATCCCATTTTTTAATCACTTCCTTCTATTAGAAAAACAAAATATACCAAATGATGCAGCGTGAAAAGCCTTACAATTTACCAAGAAGAAATAAGAAAAAATGAACTAATCTTGCACTAAAACAATAGACGGTGTTGTGTGAATTGTAAAGTTTTTCACGCTGACAGTACATTATGATTTTGTTAATATTTTAACCAAATTATCTTCTTATATACGCGGCACATTTTCATGCATAAATATCTAAATAAAAATATGCTATTCTTATGTGTTACATAGATAGCTGGCAAATCGCCCTTGATGTACGTCGGTGTCGAACCAAATGTCGATGATGCAAACGTTTGTCAACATTTATTGAATTCAATAGATGGTGTCGAAGGAAGTGTACTTGTTGGTAAATGGCCTGATTGTGCATCGAAGTTACATGATAAAAAATTTGATGTTATCCTTTTTATACATTGTCTCTATCATGTGGTTGATGTTAGTGAAGCTTTGGATGAAGCACTATGCTTACTCAAGCCCCAGGGACAAGTAATAGTGTTCATAGTGAGTTATAAAATGTTTTATTAAGCATATTTCAACTAATGCGTTTTTGAGAGTGAGCGTGAGTGAGTAACAAACTAAATATTAGCACTCACACCCACATTCTCATTGACACTCGATCATTTTGTGAGACTAAAACGCTGTATAATGAGCTGAGCCATACCTTTTTGTAGGGCATTTCTCACTGCAAGGAACATTTCTAACGCTTATTGATTCTTTTTAATGTCAAATCGATTTGAGATGAATAGAGCAAGTACTTCTGCATATCTAAGCACATTTGAGAAGGGAGAGAACAATATTTTTATAGATAAATAGGACGATATATATAGAGAAATAGCATTATAGCTTTTGTTGCAGTAAAATGCTATTTTTGTATACAAATCTCAATCTAACGGAATATAAATATGATATTGGTAATCAGTGTGCAAAGCTGTATATAAATAATGTACTTTTATGGGGTGGGTGAGTTGAATGTGGGACAGGTGACATTATTCCTACATTCGTACTCATACCCACCCTCAAGATGGTTCCCAGAATCGGTCACTTAACGAGAATCATAAGACTAATGTTGAGTGTCTCCAGGCAAAGTCAGATATTTTCGCACAAATTATGATTATCGCGTCATGAATACAAACGCAGTTCCTTATTATAACCTAAACTACGATTAATATATTGTATTTACATACGGCTATGATACAGTCGTTAGAAAATAAATGATATATGGAATATTTTTATTTTATAGGGTCCGTGCACAGGTTTGAACGAATTGTGTACTACTTTGGGACCACCACAGCATGATGGTACCTTACCATTTTGGTGGGCAGACACGATCAAGTCGACGGTAGCTGAACGTGAATATAACATCGTGCACGAGTCTATATTGAATGGTCAAATCGATTTGTCATTATGCCGCGATGAAAATAGTCGGAAAGGAAAAGCCATACTTGACTTTACTGTTTTTGCTTGCATTCCTGACGACCTGCGTGATCATGTGCTCAATGTTCTTGCTGCCTTGGCAAATGAGCAGCAGATAACAGAATCATCTGAGAGACTCATTATCAACCATCCAGTACATGTGTGGGTGTTACAAAAATCACATCTGCCAGCTCAGCACTGATTTTGCACAATACATTTAGAACTATTCAATTATAGGAAACATTAAGTTACAAGAATTTTTCTTTGTAGAAATATTGCCTTTTATGATATAACGACTATGATTCTGGTGATATTCAGAGTTCTTCTTATATTATTATTATTTATGGAAAAATATGTTTTATCATTTGTCATTGTATAATGTGACTGCAATTCATAAATAACAGAAGAAATAATAAGAAATTGAATTATTTAAAACATTTGATTTGTAAGTCAATGATTGAATGAATATTTTTCCATAAAATTAAATCTGTTCTTAATAATTTCAAATAATTAAATATCATCAAAATAATATGGGTAAGAAAACGATCAGATTATAGTGATAATTCGATATTACTTGTCGGCGTGTCGGAAATATTTCAAGGGATAGAAGTGAATATGTTGTATAAGTATGATGATGATAATAGTAACGTCGTTATCTAGACTCTTCGATAAAAATATATAGAATACAAAAAAGATATTTCTCAAATAGATTACTTTATTTCATTCACAAGAGAACCTATTCTAACAGTAAACAGATTTTTATTTTAAACCTAAGAGAAAACCATCGACATTTGAAATTATCATCAAAAAGATAACATGAAATAAGCAAAAAAATTTCTATATTCTTTCATGGTTTTTTCCATCTATAAAATAATTTTTTTTTGAAAGTCAATGAGAATTCATTACTTGATTCTTTTAAAAAAGTTCTTACAGATATACTTGTTTGAAAAGTAAATTTAATTGATTAATTTTTAGAAGAAAAATCAACAAAACGATTAAGAAAAAACAGAATAATAATAATAATAATAAGTTGCTTTCTTAGCAAAGCCAAATGGTTAGCTGATTGTGGTAAGAAAATTCAAGTCGAGTCACAGTTGAATCTTTTAGACGATCAATCTTTGCTACAATTGCTTGTTTAGTATTTTCTTTGACTTGTGGTTTCAGTCTAACATTACCATTTTTATTTATTTGTAATAATATTAATTCGCAAAAATGAGCTTTGTCGATCAGTAATTCACATACAAAATTAACCATTTCTTTTTCTCTTACCAGTTGTTGCCCACCAATAGCAAGATAATGCACTTTAGGTATGATGATATTGAACTGATTTACATCGAAACGCGTACGATCCCTGAGATGAACATATGTGATCATTGGATACCTTCCAGAACAACGAGAAAGAACGCTCCATTTTACACTGAGATAGAAAAGATGAGGTGATTTATCCAGAATTAATTGCAATGGTAAATGAGATTTCAAACTTTCGCAAGGAACATGTCGTTTGAATTGAAACGTCAACGAACGAAGATGATGACATAAATTAGCATGTGTTGGATTTATGACAATTTCTGGTTGATTCTAAAATTTCAAATGATACATATAATATATTTATTTCTTGCATCCTTTTCAGTTTAATACTTGAAATATTAAAATATTAAAATGAAACCCAATTACGAAAAGAATGACTTACATTTATTCCAAAAAAAGAACAACAAAGCGTTTTAACGTTTCTAATTGCTCGAAGACTTGTAATGAATTGTATTTCATTGTTTGTCCATTTGCATAACCATTCCATGTTTTGACAAATATAGTTTTGACGAGTTATTGCTGAATGACGAGCAAAAAATTCATAATTGTGTATCGTACGCATATACCTCCATAAATCAAAAGGAATTGAGTAGACAAAAAATACACCTTCAATAATATCTAATCGAGATGAATAACCAATCTGTTCCACAATACGTTCATCTACATGAAAACCAACATTATTAAATGGCCATCCATTATTATAATATCTCTCAATCCATTCTTGTTTGTATTTAGCAGGAAATCGAAGCAAAAATCGAAATTGATTATGTTTGAGAAAAGGTAAATTTGAAGGACTAATCAATTGTTGAAAAGCAAACAAATTATCTAAAGCTAAATAAAATTTGCTATATTCTTTTTCTTTGTTTCAAACAGTTAAGTTCAAAGAACATGCAGACGGGCTGAAATGAGAAATCTGTAGTAAAGTTTTCAGCTCGATTGGGTGACGTTTAGACAGAGATATGAATCAAACAAGGAGAAAAAATAGCTCATTTTCAGCCAAGGATTTATCGATTTAGGTTCTTGTTATATATTTTTTTTATCAGAAAGTGTATGTCAGAATGCGGGGCACCACGAATCTCGCAAAACTTCAAAGCAGATGACAAGCTATCTCTGCACGTATTTTTCTTAATTTCGAAAGTTCTGACGAAAACTGACTTGTTTTAAGGGGGAGGGGGTGAGAATTTAATCATTATTATGAAAATGATTATTATTCTCAAATATTTTAATACGTAGTCAATGCAATTTGAAATAGCTAGATATTAATTTAAATGTCGATTGACTTTTTTGTATAAAAAAAAGAATTAAATAATCAAAAAAAAGTAAAGTTCATTGCACTTACATTTATCATATACATCAACTAATATAAGTGTATCAAGAAGAGGAAAGGTGAGTGTATTGAATAAAACTAAAACATCAGTGAGTTCCATTTGACGTAAAACAAATGATCGAAGTTTTGTTTCAGTAGCATTTCTATAACGAAGATCATTTTCGGATAATTTTATCGATTTTATTGATTGATATCTTTCAGCAATTAAATCTTTTCGTCGATGTTCAATAGTTACATTTAAATATTCGATTGATGGTAAAGATTCAGGCATTAAGAGAAGAATAAGATCCGATAAATCTTGTAAACTAATAGTCAAACGTACAGTGCGTATCCAATATAGTGGATACTTTACATTACATAAATCCTTACATGGCGAATCTTCATATTGATGTCCTAAAAATAAATTTATGACTGTTAAGATCGATTATTGTTAATCAAAGATCTGAAACATAGAACTACTCGATTTTTTGAAAACTTTATTTGAAAGACAGTATTGCTTGATAATCTTATTTCTCTTATACGAACCTCTCGTTACTTCTAATATCATGATTGGACATGAAATACGTTTTTCTACTATGTCTGACAAAACAAAATGATAAATGTAACATGGCTCGTCAAAAACAAGATGAAGATAATGAAGTTGTGATTGAAGAACTTTTGTAAATTTAAGTTCATGAAATAATGAATAAATACTATTTATAGCTTCTGGTAAAATGTAAATTGTTCTTAAAAATGATAATTGCCAATTTGTTTTTTTTGCAATCCATCGAT